ACGAATTGCAACACATACCTGGAACATACCTGGAGAAGGTTTCGGGAGTAGTTCTACTCCCGAAGCCCGGTCTGGGGGCCAGTCTCGACCTTTGATAACTTGGTCCAACAGGCTGTTGCTTGGAGCGGCCCGCAGCCCCACATATCCACTACAGCCCGGTTGGTCCGGCACTTCTTGCAGGAACTTAATGGTCCAAATCCCTCGGTTAGGCCATAAAGCACGCGCGTGCGCACACAAGCAGGAAGGTTTTGTTTTCCTCCAAAGGATACCTGATCAACCAGGCTGTGACTCATACGTCAGGCTGCGAGCAGCCGCGTCTAACAGCCTGGTTGATCAGTCCAGCAACCAGGGGCCAGATTCACGAAAGCACTTACGAGCGTGTACATCTTTCTTCAATCTTTGACGGCTTTGGTTACATTTATTAAACAGTTTACAAGCATGAAAACTTCCCAATCGACTGTTGTTATTGTTATAAACAGCCTCCTGGTGCTTTGGAGCTCATTAACTGTTTAGTAATTGTAAACAAAGCCGCCAAAGATTGAGAAAAGATGTACAGGTTCGTAAGTGCTTTCGTGAATATGGCTCCAGGAGGCCTAGTCGACGACCGGGCCGCGGGGACACTAAGCCCCGGAAGCACCTCAAGGTAACCTCAAGGTATGGTGTGCGTGCATAAGAGTAGTTTCGAGAGTGAAGGTATGAACAGACGTGAACAAGGGAGTCGAGGCAACACATCCACGAGGTGCAGCAAGGGAGTGACGGTAATCCTAATAAAGCAAATATGACAAAACTGGACAGCTGAAGGGGACAGAATAGGGAAGATGGAGACGGTTACCTTGAGGTTACCTTGAGGTGCTTCCGGGGCTTAGTGTCCCCGGGGCCCGGTCGTCGACCAGGCCTCCTGGTTGCTGGACTGATCAACCAGGCTGTTAGACGCGGCTGTTCACAGCCTGACGTATGAGTCACAGCCCGGTTGATCAGGTATCCTTTGGAGGTGCTTATCCAGTTCTCGGTGGGACGGGTAAGGTGTGTGTATATATATATATATATATATATATATATATATATATATATATATATATATATATATATATATATATATATATATATATATACCTCCTTTAAAGGTTAAGCACCTTTTTGCATTATTATTTTTGTATCAACCCATGTATATCTTGTAACCATCAAATATATATATATATATATATATATATATATATATATATATATATATATATATATATATATATATATATATATATATATATATATACAAGCAGACGATTGGATCTACGTAGCATTAATAACATTATCTTGTGTAAAGGTGGAAATGTAGATGTTTATCTCTCAGAATGTTTGGTAATATGTTTATTGTTTGTGATGTGTTTATATGTATGTATTAAGCTACCTCATCCCTTTGTGTGTATTTTACCTCAATAAACTTATTTCAATTTCAATTTCAATTTCAATTCAATAACATCATCATTTGAGCACTCACGTATATTTGATGTTCAGAGATAACCTGGTTTTTCTTTGGTGATGACAACTTGTAACTATTAGAATACTAATGAACAAATCCACAAGGGCCGTGACGAGGGTTCGAACCTACGTCAGAGAGGATCCCAGACGCTACCCCTCAATCGACATGGAAGTAGCTCAGTCGATTAAGGCAGTGTCTGGGAGCCTCTCGGACGTAAGTTCGAACCCTGGTCACGGCCCTTGTGGATTTGTTCACTTGATACATCACGCTATTGTGATTTCTGTGTGTTGCACAAATCATAATTGCTACTATTGTAGCTACAGTAGCTATATTGTAGCTATAGTATAATATATATATATATATATATATATATATATATATATATATATATATATATATATATATATATATATATGTCGTACCTAGTAGCCAGAACTCACTTCTCAGCCTACTATGCAAGGCCTGATTTGCCTAATAAGCCTAGTTTTCATGAATTAATGTTTTTTCGACAACCTAACCTACCTAACCTAACCTAACCTAACGTTTTCGGCTACCTAACCTAACCTAACCTATAGAGATAGGTTAGGTTAGGTTAGGTAGGGTTGGTTAGGTTCGGTCATATATCTACGTTAATTTTAACTCCAATAAAAAAAAATTGACCTCATACATAATGAAATGGGTAGCTTTATCATTTCATAAGAAAAAAATTAGAGAAAATATATTAATTCAGTAAAACTTGGCTTATTAGGCAAATCGGGCCTCGCATAGTAGGCTGAGAAGTGAGTTCTGGCTACTAGGTACGACATATATATATATATATATATATATATATATATATATATATATATATATATATATATATATATATGTATATATATATATATATATATATATATATATATTTATATTTATATATATATGTGTATGTATATATCTATCTATATATATATATATATATATATATATATATATATATATATATATATATATATCCGATACAGGTGTAATAATTATCAACATATAGATGTACTAGAAGCACTGGCTCATACAAATAAGAAAATGACGGCACGTGTAATAGATCCATCCGCGAGCGTGACGATAAGCAGTTGTAGTGGCGGCGTTGTGAGTGTTGGAGAGAGAGAGAGAGAGAGTGTGAGAGAGGGAGAGAGAGAGAGTGAGAGACGGAGGCCACGTCCTCCCAGACCATACACGCTCTCCACCCCGTCTGTTTGGCGGGAGTTGTAGTATACCAACTAACTGCATTTTGACGCCAGTAGTATACCTGGAGTGGGTTGTTGTACTCTATTCCCCGCAACAGTCTCGTAATTTAACTGGCTGTCGTCCAACTTGGTCCAACAGGCTGTTGGTCGGAGCGGCCCGCTGGCCCACATATCCACTACAGCCCGGTTGGTCCGGCACTTCTTGCAGGAACTGTTGTTGTTTTTGTTTAAGATTCAGCTACTGGAAACAAAAAGTTCCAAGTAGCACGGGCTATGGCGAGCCCGTAGTGGACTTACCAGGCACAGAAGCGGGGCAAGTAGCACGGGGTATGGCGAGCCCGTAGTGGACTTACCAGGCACAGGAGCGGGGCAAGTAGCACGGGCTATGGCGAGCCCGTAGTGGACTTACCAGGCACAGGAGCGGGGCAAGTAGCACGGGCTATGGCGAGCCCGTAGTGGACTTACCAGGCACAGGAGCGGGGCAAGTAGCACGGGCTATGGCGAGCCCGTAGTGGACTTACCAGGCACAGGAGCGGGGATGTAACTGTGTAATTGTTTCTTTTGCCCACAATTGTTCCGGCACTATGTTGTAGTTGACGGGGGATAGGATGATACGTAGTGGGGTAGGAGGGGATGGATAGCAGGAGGCTAGGTAGAACTAAGTAGGATCGAGAGTGGATCCGCTAACGCCTAATTTAATCCAACGTTTGACATATTAAAAAAGCCTGTCTGTTGGTTGATATATTTCCAGCTTAACTTTCTGTGATCCTGAGAACCAACGAAGTCATAGTCGCCCAGAACTGTTGGATCATGTTTGCCATAATAAATATATTTTCGAGAAATGACTAATGTTGACCAGACAACACACTAGAAAGTGAAGGGACGACGACGACGTTTCGGTCCGTCCTGGACCATTCTCAATCGACTTGAGAATGGTCCAGGACGGACCGAAACGTCGTCGTCCCTTCACCTTCTAATGTGTGATCTGGTCAACATACTTTAGCCACGTTATTGTGACTCATCGCCTGCAAATGACTAATGTTTATACGATTGCTTCAGCAGCCAGCTGAGGGAGCTACACCGTGAATATGTTTGACCTACATCTGGTTGGCTGAGTTTCAAAGGGGGAAGGAGATGGGACGGAAGGTTGCCGGGGATAAAGCGACGTAAATATATCTCTGGAAGTGGTATAATCTTCAAGCACTCCCACCCGTGTGGAGGACGCTTCCTATCACCTCCAATATTTTTAAACACTACAATTTTACTACAGTGGGTAGTGGATATAAATAGGAGGAAGGGAATTATCAGGGGGGGAAAGCGCCAAGCCATTACGACTATATAGGACTTGGAAAGGGTCAGGATAAGAATTTGGGATGGGACGGGGCGGGAAAGGAATGGTGCCCAATCACTTGGGCGGTCGGGGATTGAACGCGGACCTGCAGGAAGCAAGACCGTCGCTCTACCGTCCAGCCCGAGTGGTATTTTTTTTTTTTAGATTCAGCTAATGGGAACAAAAGTTCCAAGTAGCACGGGCTAAGGTGAGCCCGTAGTGGACTTAGCTTACAGGAGCGGGGATGTAACTGACACACAATTCAGGTGGCGTGGCAGAATATAAAACCAAGAGTGAGGGGAAGGTGTCACGTGGGCCCAATATGCCCACTACATCAGTTGTCAATCCCCTGTGTGTCAGTGGTGACCGGGGCAGCATTGTTCCGTCTTCGTCTTGAAGATGGTAGAGTATAACTAGGTGTTTGTTGGCTGTGCTTGTTTGATGGGCCAAGGTCCACTTTTCTATTGTTGTATCTGTCGATTATTTCACTGCTGTTTGTCAGGATATATTTGGGTTGGGTTGTGTGTGTGTGTAGAGGCCATAGTTGGGGGGCCTTGCTGTTTGTGCATTGTCAGACGTCTTGAAAGAGATGTTGTCTTGTCTATATATTGAGATCGTTTGGGGGCTGAGAGTCCCCAGGTAGTGACGATATTCTTCTCTTTCATGGCGTTTCATTTAGTGTTGGGAGAGAGTTCTTCATGTGTTTGTTTACAGTGTTCTTACCCTTGTATTGTTAACGCAGTCTTCTGGTTGGTGTCAATAGTGGTCATATTACAATACCACTTACAGTACTCACGTAGGTAAGCATGTACAGTACTCACCTTGGCACCTTGTAGGATATGCACCCCTCAGTTCACATGCCCGCGCACCTGTAGAGCATATGCACACCTGTAGAACGAACACACACACACACACACACACACACACACACACACACACACATACACACACACACACACACATACACACACACCACACACACACACACACACACACACACACACACACACACTTGGCACTGGGGTCATCTGAGTCACCAAACACACACACACACACACACACACACACACACACACACACACACACACACACACACACACACACACACACACACATACACACTTGGCACTGGGGTCATCTGAGTCACCAACACACACACACACACACACACACACACACACACACACACACACACACACACACACACACACACACACACACACACACACACACACACACTTGGGGGTCACCTGCCGATCAATATTGGTGCCACCAGGTGCCTCTTCCTGGCCCATTCACGGCCACCCACCGTCTCCGTGCACAGTGGCGACTACGAGCCCAAACCTGACGATAACAAACAAATGTGTCAATAGACGCTGTCATGAAGAGTCTCTGTCATAACTGTGTCATAGCATCGTCATGCATGACAGGGAATGGGTAGTGGGGGGCTGTCGGGACGTGTGTGTGTGTGTGTGTGTGTGTGTGTGTGTGTGTGTGTGTGTGTGTGTGTGTGTGTGTATGTGTGTGTGTGTGTGTGTGTGTGTGAGGTATACTCAGGGTGTTGAGGAGAGACCAAACTTGGGTGTGTAAGGACGGCGTCGCTACACTGTGAAACTGCTGAGTTTACAGATGTGCAGGTGTGGGAGGTGTGGGACGCTGACGTGAGGAGGGGGGAGAGGGGGGAGTGGGCAAATATTTGCCACCTCCTGTGAGTATTCTGAGTCAGGTGGGAATGTGGCAGAAATGTGATGAATAGTGTATTAATGTATGCGCGCGCGCGTGCATACACACACACACACACACACACACAGTTGATTGACAGTTGAGAGGCGGGACCAAAGAGCCAAAGCTCAACCCCCGCAAGCACAATTAGGTGAGTACAATTAGGTGAGTACACACACACACACACACACACACAGACACACACACACACACACACACACACACACACACACACACACACACACACACACGCACACACACACACACACACACACACACACACACACACACACACACAAGGACGTTAGAAAGGACTTTTGCCAGTGTCAGAGTAGTTAACAGATGGAATGCATTAGGCAGTGATGTGGTGGAGGCTGACTCCATACACAGTTTCAAATGTAGATATGATAGAGCCCAGTAGGCTCAGGAACCTGTACACCAGTTGATTGACAGTTGAGAGGCGGGACCAAAGAGCCAAAGCTCAACCCGCCGCAAGTACAACTAGGTGAGCAGTACCCGATACAACATTTATGTTGCACATTGAATAGAAGAGATCTCTTTATAATAATAATAATGACTGAACAAGCAGGAGCCCCCATGATCAGAAGTTCGACTCCGAGGACCCAGCTAGGTGATTCTGGTAATTAAAGTGCAGGTTCGATGGTACAAGCACGCAAGCACGCACGCACACACGCATGCATGCACGCAAACACGCTTGTTGTGCTGCTTCTTGGTGGTGGTAGTGGTGGTGGTGGTATGGTTGATATCAGCATTGCCCTGATATGCTTGCATTGTTAGTGCTACTTGCACCAACTATGCAAGTAGCTTCGCACGGTGCTAGTTGTATTGTTAGTGGTGGTGGTGGTGGTGGTGATTGTATGGTGGTGGTGGTGATTGTATGGTGGTGGTGGTGATTGTATGGTGGTGGTGGTGGTGATTGTATGGTGGTGGTGGTGATTGTATGGTGGTGGTGGTGGTGATTGTATGGTGGTGGTGGTGATTGTATGGTGGTGGTGGTGGTGATTGTATGGTGGTGGTGGTGATTGTATGGTGGTGGTGGTGGTGATTGTATGGTGGTGGTGGTGATTGTATGGTGGTGGTGGTGATTGTATGGTGGTGGTGGTGATTGTATGGTGGTGGTGGTGATTGTATGGTGGTGGTGGTGGTGATTGTATGGTGGTGGTGGTGATTGTATGGTGGTGGTGGTGGTGGTGATTGTATGGTGGTGGTGGTGATTGTATGGTGGTGGTGGTGGTGATTGTATGGTGGTGGTGGTGATTGTATGGTGGTGGTGGTGATTGTATGGTGGTGGTGGTGAAGATCCTGGCAGCTGTAAGAAGTCCCTCGTCATTGATTTTGTTATGTGATTCTTGTAGTACTTTGTGGTGGTCTCCTCTCCCCTCCCTCCCTCCCCCCCTCTCTCTCTCTCTCTCTCTCTCTCTCTCTCTCTCTCTCTCTCTCTCTCTCTCTCTCTCTCTCTCTCTCTCTCTCTCTCTCTCTCTCTCTCTCCCAGGAAAAAAATATCCGGCCCTGTCAGCTTATACAAGCCAATGTTGGGGGTCATTGGTCGGCTTGGATAAAGCTTTTCCCTTTATTATAGTCCTCACCCCCCTTCCACACCCCCTTTCCATCCCCCCCTCTATGTCCAACCCTCTCCCTCCCGACCCTCTCTGCCCCCTACTCTTCCACTCATCTTCCTTCCCTTGAATAATGCATCTGGAAGGGGCGGAGGAGAGGGAGGACTGGCGGTTGTTTGAAGGTTATTACTGGGCATAGGGGAGGAGGGAATTGATGGTGGAAGGGGTTAGTGAGGGAGGGGATTGATGGTGGAAGGGGTTAGTGAGGGAGGGGATTGATGGTGGAAGGGGTTAGTGAGGGAGGGGATTGATAGTGGAAGGGGTTAGTGAGGGAGGGGATTGATGGTGGAAGGGGTTAGTGAGGGAGGGGATTGATGGTGGAAGGGGTTAGTGAGGGAGGGGATTGATGGTGGAAGGGGTTAGTGAGGGAGGGGATTGATGGTGGAAGGGGTTAGTGAGGAAGGGGATTGATGGTGGAAGGGGTTAGTGAGGAAGGGGATTGATGGTGGAAGGGGTTAGTGAGGGAGGGAATTGATGGTGGAAGGGGTTAGTGAGGGAGGGGATTGATGGTGGAAGGGGTTAGTGAGGGAGGGGATTGATGGTGGAAGGGGTTAGTGAGGGAGGGGATTGATGGTGGAAGGGGTTAGTGAGGGAGGGGATTGATGGTGGAAGGGGTTAGTGAGGAAGGGGATTGATGGTGGAAAGGGTTAGTGAGGGAGGGGATTGATGGTGGAAGGGGTTAGTGAGGGAGGGGATTGATGGTGGAAGGGGTTAGTGAGGGAGGGGATTGATGGTGGAAGGGGTTAGTGAGGGAGGGGATTGATGGTGGAAGGGGTTAGTGAGGGAGGGGATTGATGGTGGAAGGGGTTAGTGAGGGAGTGGATTGATGGTGGAAGGGTTAGTGAGGGAGGGGATTGATGGTGGAAGGGGTTAGTGAGGGAGGGGATTGATGGTGGAAGGGAGTTAGTGAGGGAGGGGATTGATGGTGGAAGGGGTTAGTGAGGGAGGGGATTGATGGTGGAAGGGGTTAGTGAGGGAGGGGATTGATGGTGGAAGGGGTTAGTGAGGGAGGGGATTGATGGTGGAAGGGGTTAGTGAGGGAGGGGATTGATGGTGGAAGGGGTTAGTGAGGGAGGGGATTGATGGTGGAAGGGGTTAGTGAGGGAGGGAATTGATGATGGAAGGGAGGGGGTAGAAAGGAGGGGGATTGAAGATGGAAGGGGGGGGGGGGGAAGGGAGGTAGGTTTTGAAAGTGGAATAGGGGAGGGAGGAGGAACTTGATTGTGGAACGGGGAGGGATTGATGGCTGGGAAGGGGGGTGGAGTGTTGTGTGAAAGAGGAGATAAGTGGGAAAGAAGACTGAATAGAAGAGAGGGATAGGATGTGGGAGGGATTAGGGAGAGGTAGGATGGATGAATCTCTCTTTGTGAGAATGAGGATAATTATTGATGGAGGGTAGGGAATGGGTGGGAGAGGGGGGGGGGAGAATAGGTGGGAGAGGAAAGGGAAATAAGGTAGTTTCTCCCCCTTCCACAACCCCCCCCCCTTCCCCTTCCTGCCAAAGGGGTTCAGTTTTTCTAAAAACCTTCGAATGCCTTTCATCACAAATAACTTATGTTGCATTACCTTGAGGGGTTTTCCCCGAGGATCAATGTCGCCCATGGCCCGGTCTCAGATCAGGCCTCCTGGTCGGCAGTGTGGTTAACCAGGCTGTTAGACTCCGCAGTTCGCATCGAACTTAACAGATATTTGCATGTTGCATTTCGTGGTTGAAAATGTGAAAAAAATACTAGTAGTAGTAGTTAGAAACAGTTGATTGACAGTTGAGAGGCGGGACCAAAGAGCCAGAGCTCATCCCCCGCAAGCACAATTAGGTGAGTACACAGCTGATTTACATTTGAGAGGCGGGACCAAAGAGCCAGAGCCTAACCCCGCAAACAGAGAGAGAAATATATGTAGTACATATAATAGAGGAAAAATAGATTGGCTAGAAAAATCGGGTCCAAGAGCTAATAGCTCAATTCTGCTGACACGAATACAAATAGTAAATACACCGTCCCCCCCCCCCCCCCCCCGAAGCCCCCGATTTCCGTCCGAGACAGAATCCCAACCTGGATTGTACCTGGATAGGGGTTCTAGTATCCTGGGGATAGATTTGTCTTTGAAGGTTAGAGAAAATGGGTTACGAGCCTGGACATTTGACAACCGATGGTTAGAAAGGCGTTGGAGTCGAAGAACTTAAGAGCTCTATCCTTCAGGGGACAAATATGTAGATTGGTAAATACACAACGTTCAACACGCCGCTCGTAAGACACGTGAGGCACTTCACATCAAAAGTGTTCCGCAAGGGGCTGACATCATGAAGTCTATTTATAGCGGAGTAGCGATTGTTCTGGTGTGTGTGTGTGTGTGTGTGTTTGTGTGTGTGTGTGTGTGTGTGTGTGTGTGTGTGTGTGTGTGTGTGTGTGTGTGTGTGTGTGTGTGTGGCCGTCGCACACATTTGTACTCCTTGTAGAGAGGGAGATGTATCATGCCGGACTTGTGGAGTCCGGCATGATACATATGATACTACATATGATACTACAATTTTTGCATCATCAGCAAACAATACTGGTTGATACCTGCTAGATGAGGTTCTGGGAGTTCTTCTACTCCCCAAGCCCGGCCCGAGGCCAGGCTTGACTTGTGAGAGCTTGGTCCACCAGGCTGTTGCTTGGAGC